TTTTTTTGGGAAATTTGCGGACTTTTTTTTTTCTTCTATATTTTTCTCTCAACTTCTGTTTGTTTACCTTCCACTACCTACTCCTAAGACTATCTAGAGGGGACCCCTGCAAGCATAGTTTTCCTCTCTCTGTGACGGGGAGATTTCATGTTGCCCCTYGCCCCTAATGGTTAGGGTATAGGGTTGGGGCCGCCCAGTGGGACTCTGGCTAACACAAAGACCGAGACCTGCCAGTAGCTGTGCCTCCCTTTCTCATCGTCCCCCACCCTTCATCGAGTAGCAGCAGAGGCTATGGCCAACACTCTCCCACACACCACACACAACCCATTCGCGCTCACACTCACACTCACACTCACACCCGTGTTGGTCATAGACCCCGCTAATACCGATCAGGGGTATCCAGAGGACTATCACAGTCCATTGGCACTAAGTGCGCCGCAGGCGGCTAATGGGCGCTAAATTGCCCTACTGCCAAAGAAAGGAAAAAAAAAAAACAAATGAGCCCCCTTTTGGTGTCCCCTGCCCTTGGGTGGCTTGGCCAGTGCGACCGTGGTAACCTAGAGCTTGTATCCTTTTTCTTTTTTTTTTTTTTTTTTATTGTTATACATTTATGAGTAGGGTGTGTTGTGTTCGGTGGAAGATGCATAGCTATCTTCTGATCTGCCAGCCGGGCGAAGGCGGCATAGGACCGTGCCACACCACTAACGAAATGAGGAAAATGCGAGTGCATCTTCCTAAGCAAGGTGGACAGATTCATCTGTTATCTCTAATACTCTAAAGGAAGAAGAGGGTCTCGCGTGACGGGCCCAACAGAAACCGGGCGTCGCCGTGTGGGGCCGCAGACCCATTTTCCCGGAAGGCGCTTTTTTTGTTGGGGCCGCGGACCCATTTTCCCACCAGGCGCTATTTTCTCTTCTCTATCTCTTCTCTAATAAAGGAAGAAGAGGGTCTCGCGTGCCGGGCCCAACAGAAACCGGGCACCGCCGTGTGGGGCCGCGGACCCATTTTCCCGGCAGGCGCTTTTTTTGTTGGGGTCGCGGACCCATTTCTCCACGAGGCGCTGTTTTGTCGGGGACCAGTCGCGCGCGACCCCACGAATGTGAAGCGGTTGTGGCACGTCGCGAAGATGTACGTCCACGGACCCATTTTTCCGCCAGGCGCACGTCGCGAAGATGTCCATCCACTATTTTTGTCGCGCCACCCGGGGAATGCGAATCGGTCGAAGATGCACCGGCACTTTTGTGTCGTCGTTTTTTTGGTTCGACTGCGCGGCTGCTGGCTGAAAGTGTCGGTGCTTTAAGCGGGAGGAGGAGCGGGAGGAGCGGGAGGAGGGGTGAGAAAAGGAGCGGGAAAAGGAGTGGGAGAAGGAGCGGGAGGAGGAGCGGGAGAAGGAGCGGGAGGGGAAACGGGAAGGGGCGGAGGAGCCGCGTGAGGAGGAGCGAGAGAAGGAGGAGCGGCAGGGGAAACGGGGAGGGGGTTAGGAGCAAGAGAAGGAGCACGTGAGGAAACGGGAAGGGGCGGAGGAGGCTGGAGGAGTTGCGGTAAAAGGACCGGGAGTAGGAGCGGGAGGGGGTTAACCAACACGCATGAGGCGCATGAGCGGGAGGAGATATAGGTGGAGGAGGAAAAGCGGAAGGAGCGCGAGGAGGAGCGCGAGGAGCGGGAGAAGGAGCGGGAGGAGGAACCGGGGAAAGAGTAGGAGAAGCAGCAAGGGAGCAGCACGAGGGGGAGCGAGAGAAGGAGATGGAGGAGGAGAGGGAGGAGGAGTAGGAGAAGGAGCCGGAGCGGGGCTGTGGCGGGATCTTTGTCACATTGTTTGGCGGAGCAGGAGTGGGAGGGGGAGGAGGAGGAGGAGGACTGGGAGGAGCGGGAGAAGGAGCGGGAGGAGGAGTGGGAGAAGGAGCGGGGAAGGAGCTATGGAGGAGCGGAAGGGGGGGAGGAGCAGAAGAAGCAGCGGGAGAAGGAGCAGGAGCAGTGGGAGGAGCAGCAAGAGGGGGAGCGGGAGGAGAGGGAGGAGAGGGAGAAGGAGAGGGACGAGGAGAGGGACGAGGAGCGGGAGAAGGAGCGGGAGCGGGGCTATGGCGGGATCTTTGTCATGTTGTTTGGCGGAGGAGGAGCGGCAGGAGGAGTGGGAGGAGCGGGAGAAGGGACGGGAGCAGGAGTGGGAGAAGGAGCGGGAGGAGTGCAAGGGGAAACGGGAAGGGGTGGAGGAGGTGCGGGTGGAGGAGAGGGAGGGGTGGGAGGAGGAGCGGCAGGGAAAACGGGGAGGCGGTTAGGAGCGGGACGAGCGCAAGGGGAAATGGGAACGGGCGGAGGAAGCGTCGGAGGAGGAGCGGGAGAAGGAACGTAAGAGTTCAAAGGGGAAGGGGGGGAGGGAAGGTGGACATTGATTGATTGATTGATTGATTGATTGATTGATTGATTGATCGATCCAAAAAAAAAAAAAAAGATCGCCCCGTTCTCCTTTTTTGTTTTTGTTTTTCAATCAATCAAATCAACCACGTTCTAGCCGTAGATTCATTCTGGCTCATCGGGGAAGTACCATGACACCAGTATATTTCCATGTTCTGCCTGAAGATTCATTACCAAAATGGGGTTGAATCTTCCGGCGCGCGCGTGTGTGTGTTTGTGTCACAAAGAGAGAGAGAGAGAGAGAGAGAGAGAGAGAGAGAGAGAGAGAGAGAGAGAGAGAGAGAGAGAGAGAGAG